GTCGAAACTAAATACTAGAACAACAACTAATACTAAATACTACAATACTCGTTGATCGTTTTCCATAAAACTATTAAATGCGAGTAAATTTTGTAAAAAGTGTTAGGGTAGAGTTAACCTTGTTCTAAGCTAGGGTTAAATTAACCCTGATGAAACACGTAAGTTTTACCCTCAAGGGTTAGTTTAACCCTCAAAGTTCGTTGATGAATAGGGGTTAATTGTTTTCGGGTTAAGGTTTACTCTCAAAGGTAGATTTAACCCTCAGGGTTAAGCCTACCCTGTGTTTTATGAATACGGGTTAATCGGTTTCCAGGGTTAAAGTAACCTTCCAGGGTCAGTTTAACCCTCAGGATTCGTTGATGAATACGGCCACTGGTTTGCATTGCATCGCTCGTGGTCCGTAGTTGTTGTCTTCCTTCTTGATCGCTTCTGACCGCATCGTCTTCCCTTCAAAATGTAGATGATCTTTGCCGCTCTCTTCTACTTTATTGGGGAAATGATTTGATAGTAATTGAAGAGCTTTCACTTTCTTGTGTGTAAGTAAACAAATCACTAAATCGATAGAAAGATCCAGTGAGTCGTCGCGAGAAGTAGCCTATCTTTTGCGCCGTGGCTTGTTTATATGGGAGAAAATTTCAGCCTTTTCGGTTCACATACAAAGTCTGTAAGCCACAGACATCCTGACAAACAAAGTTACAGTGTTCGTCATTGACGCATTATTGAATATGGGAAGGCAGCCTGTAGGTAGAAATTTGCCTAAGAAAGGTGGTGGGATATTGAAATGACGTCAGGTTAAGTTTATGGTACGGATAGACAGCGTTATGCACTGCACTACCATCTGAACATTGCTACCGTAAAATCAGTAAGTAGTGAGCGCGCAAATTGTGCACAGAAATTTTGTTCAGAATAAAGTTCGCAGTTGCGGGCAACAAATTTGAATTCAGCGTTTCAAGCTGATTCTGAATATTTGTGTCGTTTTTGAAAAGGGCGACCTAGGTTAGGTGCCTTCCTTCGTAAGAAGCCGCAGCGTTTTTCGATACGCTAGCCACTCATAACTCACCAACCACTGGAAGATGGATTGAAGGAAATGGTACTAGTAAAAAAGAGAATAAGCTTTTAAGCAATGCTCTAGGACTTTTGACTTTTCCTTCATTTCGGTTGCGAATTACGGTCTTCACGAGGAGGTATTAGGTTGTCAAGAAAATAATGTCGTTTCTCATTTGCTTGCTTTAACAAAACAACCAGACTCAACCCAATAAATGGTAATGGGTACTGTTCCATAGAGCAAAGCAAGCTCTACAAGATGGCGTTCATAATATTGCGCCAAGTTCGAACCACGGAAAGTTTGGACTCAAAATCTGAATATTTCTAAATGCTCAAAAACCGAAAAAAATCAAATCTTCGTCCAAATAATTTCCACGGACCTCCCACTCACACACGTCAATACCTTCGATATCTGATATCCATATGTGCAGCTGCTGTACTTTTTTTGACTAGAAACTGAGATAACGAAAATTTTCGTGTTTTTCTAAAAGCAATGCTGAACCGTTTTTGCATATGTGATTCTATACTACAAGCTTCGATAAGTATATCTGTAGATTTTCAGCCCATTCCGAGCAGTAGTTTTCGAGAAATATCGAAATCAGCTTTCTTCTTTTCAGTTTTTGTCTAAAAGCGACATTTCTCGAAAGCTACCGCTCAGAATGGGCTGAAAATCTACAGATATACTTATCGAAGCTTGTAGTATAGAATCACATATGCAAAAACGGTTCAGCATTGCTTTTAGAAAAACACGAAATTTTTCGTTTTCTCAGTTTCTAGTCAAGAAAAAAGTACAGCACCTGCACATATGGATATCAGATATTGAAAGTACTGACATGTGCGAGTGGGAGGTCTGTAGAAATTATTTGGACGAACATCTGATTTTTTTCGATTTTTTGGGCATTCGGAAATCTTCAGATTTTGAGTATCCGTGGATCGAGCTTGGCGCAGAATCATGAACGCCATCTTGTAGAGCTTGCTTTGCTCTATGGAACGATACCCATTACCCTTTATTGGGTTGAGTCTGGTTGCTTTGTTAAAGCAAGCAGATAAAAAACGACATTATTTTCTTGACAACCTAATAATTTTGTGCCTTGACGCATCAACTTCGTGTCGACGGTACAAAAGTGCTACTCAGAGCTTTCCAGTTTCCGTTATATGGAGATATGGAGAAGTCTGCTCTTTGCTGGAGGCTTCCAATGTTAGCGGCAAAAAGGAATCTCTAAGTGGGGAATCGAACCGCCGGCAGCTATCGCATCCATTACCCGCTAGCATGAAAGCTGCATTGTATTTTTGAGTAAATGTGTCAATTGCCTTTCTTCATCAAATTTAAAAAATGATGTGGGGGGAGGTGTATGCCTTCTGGACTGCTCCGTCCTACCGCTAATTACTCTACTCCAGGGCGCCCTAATTACTCCGCTTTTCTCTAACAGAGTTTTGAAAATTTCAACTATTTCATAGACGGTGTCCAGGTTAAATGTTACCCCCTCCGGGTTAGTGCCGATCCTGAATGTAGGCCCCCAGAAGGGGGGGGGGCATCTGCGTTGGTCCGGCCCTTTAATGTTGTTTCTGAATGGAGGATGCCTGGAACAGCCGAAGTGCTATCAAAACCCGCCCAGATCCTATCAAGCTCTGCCCACTCATGTACTGAAAGCAGTTCGAGCACTCAAGACAGGGTCCCCAGAAATCAGGATTTTCGGGGGGGGGGGTTGGATAATTTGAACTCCATAATTGTAATCAGGGTCAAGGAAAGACCCCAGAATGGTAAAAACATGGGAGGCGAAATTTTTGGTGGGCGCTGCTATTAAAGCAGCTAGTGTACATTTTCGAGCAATGGTAATGATGATGTTCAAACTACAACAAGAATTTCGAGTGGTTGAGATTTTTGCTGGCCAATTCACGATTTCCTTTACTTTCCCAGTTCTTCAAACACCTTTGAATCTATAACCTGAAAATCCTGTCTATGCCCCAAGTGTAAAATTTATTGAGTTTCTTGTAGTCCTCTGGTTCCTCTCTTTGGGGTTTCCGCGTAACTAGTCCAATTCAAAGCTCCTGTGTCTCCAACGAAGCCTAGCTTTGTCGCTTACCCAACTCGTCTCGGCAGCCCTGGCCAGTCAGAGGCGCGCGGTAATTAGGCATCTAAGGCTAGCGGTGCAGAAGGGCCGTCTCCCCGGGGGGGGGATGCACGAACTGATATGCACAACGCGGCGTAGGACAAGAAACATCGGGTGAGGTTTTGCGCCCCAATGATTTTTCCCAAATGAAAGGACGGGTGAATGCTCAAAAGTTCTTCCCTGCAGAAAATTTCTACCGTATCTTACGATCCTTTCATATGAAATGATAGGATCTGTGTAGAAGTCAGCTGTTTTTTGGAGGCTTCCAACGTTAGCGGCAAAAAAGAACCTCTGAAGGAATTGAACCGGGGTTCTGGTAGCTGATAGTCGCACCCATTAGCTACTAGACCATGGAGGTTCCATCACGGCTTGGAGTAAATTTTTCAACTGCTTTTCCTTATCAAACTTCCAAGAAGTGATGTGGGGGGGGGGGGGGGGAGGGTGGTGGCTGAACGAACTGATTCGTGCACACACATGGCTTAGGACAAGTTTTGCACCCAGTGATTTTCCCCACATTAAAGGACGGGTGAAAAAAGTTTTTTGCAGAAAATTCCTACTGTGTCGTACGATCCTTTCATATGAAATGATTGAAAGAAATAAAATTCGTCCTTCAAAACTTCTTCTGTAAACAGAATGTTGAGGTGTGGCACAACCTCCAAAAAGGTGTCAAACCTTTTTTTTTGGGGGGGGGGGGGGGATAGTGCCACAAACCAGAATTTACGTGGCAGAGAAATCTTTGGGGACTTTTCAAATATAGTTCGATAGCCTGGATCTCGCAGTCTGCATAGAATTGATATTCATTTGAGTAATTCAATATTATTAATAATTGCTGATCAACCGAAAACGAAAAACGGAGTGAATGAAATTTTGGCTGGTTCCTAATTCCATTTTGTCGGTCACGTGGGATTCCTGGGCGAAGAAGGAATAGTGCTTCGTACTGACAGAAAAAGGTGGCTAATTTACTTCCAAGACAAAGTTCCACGTTTGAATGGCCATTTAAACGTGGGTAACTTTGTCTTACAAGGAAAGGATACTTGATCGAAGCGGCGTTTCCATACAAAATGTATACCATCTTAAAGAGCATGGAAAGCTGATTTTAGTCTTCCTTACCTGCAAAGCGCTTCTGGGAGCGGAGTTTTGAGAATTTTTTGAGGTAAAAATTCATTGATTTGGCTAAGGTAAAAATTCGCGTATTGAGATCTTTTCGGCGCTTGAAAGGAGTAATGACTGGTATGAGTTCATTAGACTGAAGTTATTTGTTGTATAAAACACCCCGATAGTACTCATGGCGCCATCTGAGCTCATGGACTCTAGTTCTGAATGATTTTATCGTAGCTGCGCTTTCATTTTTTTGCATCAAAAATTTCCATAACTCCCCTCCCAGAAGCGCTTTGCAGATACCGAAAGCAGATTTGAAATCAGCTTTTCATGCTCTTTATTATATTATACATTTTGTATAGAAACGCCACTTCGACCAATTATCCTTCCCTTGTTAGAGATGAATAAGCTACCTTTTTCTCTCAGTACGAAGCATTTGTCACTTGAGTGGCCCAGTATTTGAAAACCACTGTATTCGCTAAAACTTGGATTGAAGGTGTTATTTGACATGCCAATTACGGAGAAACTTTTTTCTTTGATAGGGCCTTCTTATGCTTACGGTAGGTAACAGGTAATCCGAAGAGATCTTATTGAGACTCAGGTCGTATTCAACGGTCGTGCCCCACATCTGGTACTCGATCCTGATCTGCAATGCCATTCCGGGGTTGCAAAATCAATCATCTTTCAAATTAGCTCAATAAGATTTCAAGCTGCTGTGATCTTTGCGCTTTCATAAGTGTACTCAAGGAAGACGACTTGCGTGAGGATGGTTCCACTTTAACAAATGGTAGAGATCAGCAACGACCGCTGGAGGTGATACAGATGGAATCTTCTTCGGACGAGGAAGTAGCGGAACGGTCCGCCGTCGGTGCTCCTGATCGCCAAGCGCGGGCTCCTCCCGCTAGCCCTGAACCATTTGAAAAAGGTGCATGAAATCCTTGGTCTTTCCGCTCAATACTTGGGTATCCTGCCAAATCCTCATTTGCTCATTCGCAGAAATGGGCTTGAATGATAAGTTAGTCTTTGTGTTGTATCTTTTAAGAGAGTTAGGTCATGGCTATTATGCTGATTTTGTTTGTATTTTAGTCATTTCCCGGTCATGTAACTAGCAGTGTTATGTCATCATTGTGATGTTGCTAGTATCATTCTACAGATTCGTTGTTTTGAAATCGGCGGTGCTCAGAGTGAGGGGCTCTAGTTCTTTCTTACACTGGTTCGTTATATGCTCCCTGTTTCTGAAAGTCATGCGTATCGTTGTGGCCCTCGAGGATTGCGGGCGCTGGAGCGCACCTTTTGTAGTCCCTTTCATTGTCTCCATTTCAAATCAACATTTGTCCTCGATATGGATCAAGACTGTGATGGTTTTTATAGTTTCTAATTGCTTTGTAAACAGTTCAATTTCCCATTTTGTTTCGTTGTCCTTTGTCTCTCCTAACGATGGATTCGTAATCACACCCTAAGGTTTCGGCTCTGCTTGTGGCAAACGACCCTAATTTGTTCTAAGTACCAGTTGTTGGCTTGTGAATTTTTGCTGTATCTATGGTTGTTTACTTATGTAGTCCTTGTTTGATTATAAGAAGCTGCGTAAATGTTATCATACGAAAGGACTATAGTTTTGATAAGGCTGCAAACTTCTTCGAGCCATATTCTACACCTAAGTGGTGTGCCTGACATTCGAACTCGCTATAATTACGACCTCGCGAGAGTAACACGACATAGCAAGCCCCGCTCCCTATCCAGTGTCTATCCAGTGTTCATCTGGACGCTGAAACTGGGTATCAAAGTACAGGCCCCGTAAAATCCAATTGCCCACGCATCGCTCTGAACACCAACGTGCGGCGCGGTTGTAAACGTTTGGTCCCGAAGCGCTTACAGGCTTTTTGCGAGCGACAATGAGCGCGCACCCTTTTTACACATATTTCTAAACTTTCGAAGGGAGCTTTCGTCAAGATATACCTTGCATTGACGAGAACAACATGAGATTTGAAGGAAGATTTCTTGAAATTCAGTGAACGCCGACAGTCGTTCGCGACGACCGCTCGCTTACGCTGGTGTTCAAGGCACGGCGCGGGCAATTAGCTTTTACGGCGCCTATAAGTTCCAAGCGAAGTAGTAGTGAAAATGATCCAAATTCGGATTAAGTGGTTTTTAAGATTCTTCAGTAGTCAGATTTGTTTTTTGCATTGTCAATGATTAGTACTGATAATGCCCAGCCAAGGCCAATATCGTATCTAGGCGTTTTCGGGATTGCTTTTTCCAAACCAAAACCAATTTGATTCATGGGCTTTCGAAATTGCTTTTTTGAAAGTGCTTTAACCTGTGAACGTTTTGGGGACAAAGAATGTTTTTCTTAAAAAAAGGGGCGTTTTCCATGGGATCAGAATGCTAAATCCAGAAACGCGCAAATGCTTCCATACATTTTTCCTCCAAGTAACCTCAAAAATCTGTCATCTAACCGTTTCGTTTATGCGAAACAGATACAGGAATGCAGAAAACTTTCAACTGTCTAGAGACAAGACCTCAAAAGTGAAGGTTGTTCGATTGTTTGCCCCTCATAAAAAGTTAAGGTTGTTCGTACAAAACCAGAAAGAAAAAAAGATTCAAAACAGTAAAAGCAAAAGAAACTCTTGGAAATTGGATAAAACGCTGCAATAAGTTTGATGCGCATTGCAAGTTTTCGCTCCAGAACCACGTAAGCCACAACATGGGGAAAAAGAGGAAAAAGCTAGTTTTCTCTAAAAACAAATTCGAAAGTAGCGATTATCAAGAGAAGATAAACAAGAAAGTTAGTTTTGAAAACGCAGAGTTTTGTTTATACTAAGTGAAATGCGCATCAAAGCCAACCTAGTTTTTGGTGCGTCCTTTAAATTACCCCCGTATGGGGTTCCGGTTTTTTGAGGTGTTGTCTAAATTGTTGCGCTCATCATTTGAGCAAATTGTGCAAGTTGGAAAGAAATCGTTGCGAAAAAAAATCCGCCTTAAAGGCAGTGTCCGGGCAAAAACTCGATCTTGAGATTTTCTGCTTACCCGGGCCTATTCGCTCCGCTGAATCCGAAAATGCACATTGGAGACCGCGAAAACTGCGAAAAACGGCTCTATCACGGGAGGGAAATTAACAGGAAAGCGGGGTCCTCCCCACTGTGAATTCACGGTCTCAGCTTCCGGAGCGATCTTTTTAATCCCGCTAACCGTCCTGACATCTCCACAGACCAAGTGCGTATGCATGATCTGATATCGGAAGCGAGAGGATCGCTCCGGAAGCTGGGACCGTGAACTCTTCGTGGGGAAGACCCCGCCCCCTTTTGATTTTACCCCTACGCTAGAGCCCTTTTTCGCCGTTTTCGCGCTTTCCAATGTGGATTTTCATATTCAGCATAGCGAATAGGCCTCAGTAAGCACAAAATCTCAAAATCGACTTTTTGCCCGGACACTGCCTTTAATCGTAGAAATAAGCACTGGGATGTTGTCTGCATAATGAACAAAAGCGAGATCTATAGAATGCATGAAAAATTCGCCTTAATCGTAGAAATAAGCACTGGGATGTTGTCTGCATAATGATCAAAAGCGAGATCTATAGAATGCATGCAAAAAGCGCGTGAAAAGAGTTGAACTAGGGGAAAACAAGAGAATTTCGAAAACAAGGTTTTTGTTGGATTTCTCGTTCAAATCAAAAATGTGGTTTCGGGACGTTATCAGCTTGAAAGCAGAGATCAAGCAGCTTCAATATGATACATAGGTTGCTAATATTGGGTTCGAAACAACGAAAGAAAGGGTACTGGAGCCAACCACGCTTGGGGTAGCGAGGTAGCGCGCAGCGCGCGGAGACGCAGGCGAGCAGCGAGACACTGGAGCCGACGGGGATTCGGCTGTGGTCGTAGATCCCGCGGCGTCTCATCGAAACCCCGCAACATTCATTCTGATCGCCATGACACGACGAGGAGCGCTGACAACGTCCCAAGCGCTGAAAATCACTCAATAATGAGATAGACTAGCATTTCCGTGCGCGAGCCTTTGCGCAAGATTTAAGCGCAGTTTCGCGTTTATTCAACACCAACAGCTTCCCTAAACTTCTGAAACTTGATCTTAGTCAAACAAGAGGTTAAGTGAGAGATTTTTTTATCCTTGCATGTGACCCGCTTACGCAGGGTCTGCTTTTCTTGTCAGACGTCTCCATGTCGTCCTCTCTGAGGCAAGGTCTTCATCTATACCAAGTCTCGCAGGTCGGCCTTGATGATATCCATCCACCTCATCTTGGTCTACCTCTGGGTCTTTTGCCTGGCGCCGCCACAGCCAGGGCTGACTTCGTGATATGACTTTCATCTCTTCTGCGCACTTGCCCATACCATCGTAACCTCTTTTCCTGCATTTTCTGGGCAACTGGAGCACTTTCATTTGCGCTCGTATAGTGTCATTGCAGATGTGATCCTTTAGTGTGACTCCTAAGGTCCATCGTAGCATAGCGCCCTTACAGTGCTGCTGGCCGGATGACGGTGCGGTACAGTTGGAACTTAAGTTGCACTGGCATTCTTCTGACGCACAGAGCTCCTGTTAAGGCTCTCCATTTCATATGCTGTGTTCATCCTGCTTGCAATCTCCTCTTGTAAGCCTTCCTCCGCTGAGATGTGAGTGCCTAAATGCTTGTATGATGTTGTCTTCTTTAGCTCTTCACCATCGATGCTTATGGTACCAGGAGTCTTTTCCCCACTTCCATATACTCTGTCTTCCTGATGTTGAGCTTCAGGCCATACGACTCTAGCCTATTCTTCCAGTTTTGTACCTCGTCTTGCAGCTCCTTTCTGGTACTTGCTATTAAGACCACATCATCTGCGTAGAGAAGTTTCCAAGGAGGGTCGCATCTGAGCGGTTCCATCACGGCGTTTATCAAAGATGAAGAGCAAAAAAGAGAGAACTGAACCTTGGTGTACTCCGACCTTGATTTGGAATTCTTTCGATTGCCCTGCAGCTGTTTGCACGTGGCTTGAAGCGTTGTGGTAGATCAACTTTATCCACTGCACGTATTCCTCTGGCATCCTATGTTTTCGTAAGGCCCATCATATGATCTCGGGGCACCTTATCGAAGGCTTTCTCCAAGTCCAGGAAGGCTGCATGCAATTCATTCTGCTTCTCTCTATACTTCTCCATCACTATCCGGGCAGAGTGGATTGCGTCAGTTGTGCCTACTCCTTTCACGAATCCGCACTGATTCGGTGACAACTCTAATATCTCAAAGACGCGTTTCGATTATTCGCTCGAAGATTTTTAGGGTGTGGCTCATCATTCGGATTGGTCGCTAGGATGAGCAGTCTGCTATGTCTTCCTTGTTCTATCATATCGGGATCGTCGTGCTGGTGTAGTCGCGAGGCATACTCTTGCTTCTTATGACTTGATTGAGGAGAATCGCTAGCCATGTGGCTCCGGATTGTCCACATATTTTCCAGAACTCGCTTGGTATGTCGTCTGAACGGTCGCTTTGCCATTCTTCGTTCTTCTTATGGATAGCCATACTTCCTCTTCAGTGATTGCTGGTACAGGTCCTTGTATGGGACTGGCTTCTGAGATGGAGTTGATGGTGGTGCGGTCTGTGGTGGTCATTTCTTACAAGTGTGTTCTCCACCTCTCGGTGATGTCCTCTGGTTTTCTTAGCACTATACTTGGGTAATTCGAAATTTTTCATCGAAGAATGAATATCGAATGAATTCGAAAACAAAAAATCTCGAATAAACGAATATTGAATAAATTCGAGGTCCAAAAATTCTCATGAATGAATTCCGAATGAATTCTGAAAATCAAACGTATCGACTGAATGAATATCGAATATATTCGAACATTGGAAGGTCGAATTTCGAATAAATATTTGAATGATTTGTTGAATAACTAGAGCAACCATATCTCAAGCTTGCCGACATATCTGGCTAAAGCCGATCCAATCATACTCAGCACCCTCGTATCCCCTATACCAACTCCTAGCTCAAAATTTTCCAAAAATCGCTGAAATAGATAAAATAGAATTTGATTTCAATCAGCATCCTCATTTACCCCCCCCCCCCCCCCCTCGTACCAACTTCCAACCTCGTAGCTCAAGAATTTCAGAAATCGATAAAATCAATAAAGTAAATTTCTACCCATAACGGCACCCTCACTTGCCCCCTTGTACCAACTCCCAGCCCCGTAGCTCGAAAGCAGGTAGCTACGAAGGCATGTGGTTTATTCCGCGAAGCGAGCACGAATGCCCCTATAGCTCGGGCATACTGCATGCATTTCAGTGGCGACGTGGTTTGGCAGTAGGTAGCAGTCAAATTCTCCAAAACTTGTTATAAAAGTACAGAATGGAGGGCATTTATCTTTCTAGTAAGTTGTACACGCTAAACATATGTGGTAAGCTGGCGTTACATTTGAAGACATCTCGTAACTGGCCGATCTAAACCGTCTAATCCTCCACTACAAATGCGATGTCCTTTACTCAAAATACACCAATTCGCAAAAAATCTCTGTAACGAATAGAGGCAGTTGTGCAATATAAATTATGCAGGCAAGAGTGCTCACTAGTGTGGGCATCGCGTACCGCAAGCATGAGCAATGCAAAGAAGGAAGAACAGGCATTTC